GTACTTTTTTTTCAAGGTTTTAGTGGGGCCGGAAGGAAGGCGAAGGTGAGCGGGGCATTACATTTCTGTAATAAAATACTTTCATCTTTTCTGAAATAAAACACAGGATTGGTATTTCTCTCTCTTTCTCCCTCCGTACGAAGTGCTTCTCATGAGCTTTATATTTTGTTAGTGAAAAAGCGCACATCTGGACCCAGTCTTTGCTCCAGGCTTGCAACTAAATAGGCATGGAGGCTGACCAAACAAATTTTGTTTAGCGACGATACATTATTTATCGATTCCGCAACAATATTAATATTTTGTTGAAAAACCCTATTCTCTTCAGTAAATGAAATTCCTCCAGCCAGCAGCACTCTTATGCATATGTAAACATTGTTAGCAGCTACTACATCGTTTGTGCTGAAAATTTCAATTCACAACCCGAGATTTCATGATGTAATAAAATGAAAATTAACTTGATAAATCGTTAATCATAGTTATATTTCATTGCGCATAGCAAAAATAAAACTTGTGATTCATCGCTAAAAAAATATTGAGAGAACGAGGGATGTGCCAGGAAAAATTAGCTCGTTCATGATTAATCACAGAAAAGTAGAACTATTTTAGGTCAATCCACAAACTATCAACAGAATCCGATAAGAAAAGTGCACACAAATAACTACCCTAACTTTCGTTTTTGTTGTGGTTTATTTTACTGACCACGCACAAAGTATCGAGGAAATCCTGGTTTCGCCAGAAGTCTTGAATATGTCGTTTATTTTCGAAACATTTCAAAAATTTACGGGATTTTTCGATTAACTAAAATTTGGACAATATAAACCTGTTAAGATAATATAAATCTCACAATATATCAGGTTGATATTATCTTATATCAGGTTTATATACATATATTAGATAATATATCAGGTTTATATCCCATCCAAATTATCTTAATAATACTATAAACCTGATAACAGATAACATAAACCTGTTAAGCTTGGCGCAATGGCAAGCAAAGTTAATTCCAATAAGAAAGCCAATTGTTGATAAAACCAATTTTCACAGTTCGTTTCGACTGCATACAGTTACTAACAGGTTGTTACCACACAATCTTAAGAAGATGAAGTCATTAATAGCACTGTTGCTGGATGAATCCCACTACAGCGAGCTACCACTCCAATTATTTTCGAATTCTTCACCTTTCCATGGACAGCGAAATATGTAGAGGCTTTTACCTTTTTCGGCTTGATGAGTGTTATTTAAAAAAATGACATTTTCTGCTTCATCAGGAGAATCTTTTAGCAATATTAAAAAATTTCTAGATGAATGAGATGGCTTGAGAAATCTGAAAATGGAAATGTCGCCATCGAGATTTTCTTAGATTTGTTCTTAATGGGAGCGTATACGGCTTAATGGACCGAAACATTCCCGTTGATTTGTTTATTTTAAAATATATTTTATTTTTTAATATTTTGCATATAGTCTTATTAATATCTTTATTTCAAGCACGTATTTGTCTACACTTTATACGTATTTGTCTGCACTAAGGGTCTGCACAAAAATCTTTATCTGCACTAAGGGTGGGACAGTCTGAGCAGATAAGTTACCACTTTACTGCCTCTAGAAATCTGTTTCCAAACAGTTCCAGATTCAAAAATTTAAGAATTGTCTTTCGTATTTCGAGGTGGCCTGCATTTTTTTCAGTTTGCTGCGTCACAAAATGCGAAGGAAAAATGAGAAAAGTAAAAATGTCATGCTAAATCATGCCACTGATGCTGGCGCCCATGTGACTGATGGTGCACTGGAGACCTCGAAAAGAATTCCAGCAAAACGATGGTAGTTATTGCTTGTCTGGTAGACATTCCTGTGCATTTCATTTCCTCACAAGGCAAAAATAATATGTTTTGCGAGCGAAGTTTTAAAAAAATCTAAGAAAGCTTTCGAAAGTCCCTGGTCCTCGAAACCACTTCAGATGCGGGATGACATCATATGCTAGTAGTAATCTATCATCAAAACTAGGCATCGAACACAGACTTTGGAAAATGCTGTGAGAGCGTGATATTATCAGGCTGATAATCTATTTCTGGCAATTCATTAGGACAGAAGCTACAAAAGTATGCTAGGGAATTAAGGAACTTCATGCTTGGCATGCACATAAAGAAATGTATCTTTCACGTTCTTGAGAATGCTTGAAAAATCAGAATATGCTAAGGTACTGCTGCTGCTGGTGAGTGATACGTTTGCTGACGTAAGCACAGTTGCTCTTATCAATCAAGGGGTTCATCCGACGCCCAGGCCGATTTGTTTATTCGATTTAATTGATCTTGCGCTGATACACGAAAATAACATAAATTTTAACATCGGCAATAAAGTGCCCATGGATTCAGCCAGTATAACAGGCATTCCAGGTCAAATTAGTCAACTTTTGCTTTGGGGGCAGGATTCAACCCTCCACTCTTCATGTTTCATCTCTAAAGCAAGCCGAAAGTACTCGAAAGTGTCATCAGCAGTCCTGATAGCGGATCTGCCAACAACAACTGCATGATGGCAGCAAGGCTGCTGATGAAAATCCCTCCCGAGGTTACTCAGAAGCAAGCTGATGCCGATCTTCTATGTCCTTAACATTTGCCCGTGTTAACTTAAATTCCGCAAAGTTTGCTTCCCACTGACAGAATCGAATCATCGACATTTTAGCGGCACTTATTAGTGAGCTAGCCCTGCCAGTTATTTTAGATTGCTCTTAACAATATTTGCCCTTGCGTGTTCTCTCGCACTTAATCAGATGTTCTTGAACCTCTTGAAAATGTCTTCTCCGCACTAGGCTGATTTAGTGCACTTTGAAAACCTTAGCATTTTAGGATAAATCATTCCAGTCCATTCAAAAACCAAGAACTCGATGCTTCAGGCAACAGGCATATTCTTTGCTCTTGCCCTAATATTTTCAAAAAAAAAAATATTGCAGCTGCCAGGATATCTGGCAGCTGTAAATTTTCGAGTTTTTTATTGCATGTGCTTTTGCGTCCTCTGCAAAAATTTGGCTTTTTTGGAATCGGTCTATAACCGGTCTTTAGAAAACTGCTTTAATCAACTTGCAATTCCTTCTGGTTGGGTGATCGAGTGACGATGAAAAATGCCGCAGTATGACGTAGGAGGAGGGTAAAATTTGATTTATACTGGCACGCACTGGTGAGATGATTGCTCTCTCTCTCTTGGCTTGTGGCCTGAAGCTGTACTTTTAGCAAAATGCCTTGAGAATCGACAATT